GGGCTGTTTTAAGAGACAAGAATTTAATTGGAACCTGATTCAGTGGCTCGAATGGAGCTTGATCAGGGCCCGCAGGACCCGCGTTAAATCCCACTGTGGAGCGAGTGGGCGTGAAAACAGGCCTGCGTCTCTGTACACCTTTTAAAAAACGCTTCATCAGCAGATGATTAAAGGCTTTTCTGTCTCCAAAAACTTCGTGACAAGAAGAGATGGCTGTAGCATACGTTTAATCGTGCTGAACGCCAAATATCTGTCCCTCAGCTGCTGCAAAAAGGACAGCACACTGCCTAGCGGACATGAGGTGGCCTCTACACCTTTCTCTGTACGCCTTTTACAAAACGCTTCATCAGCGGATGATTAAAAGCTGTTCTGTCCCTGAACCCTTTGTGACAGGAAGAGATGGCTGCAGCATACGTTTTAATCGTGCTGAATGCCAAATTTCAGTCCATAAGCTGCTGCAGAAAAGACAGCACGCTGCCTAGTGGACATGAGGTGGCCTCTACACCTTTCTCCGTACACCAGCTCTGAAAAAACTGTCCACTTTGATGTGTACAGCGCTGTGAATCCTGGATTGTGCACACTACATCTTGTGGGAGACCCATCCTCTCTAAAACGGATCCGCTCAGCGGCCAGACCCACAGGTGCTGGCCTATTTCTGGGTAACTCCTGATCGCTCCTCCCGCCTGGAGGAGAGCATCCTCCCTCCATGGCAGTTTCCACAGGCGCCCCGATAACAGGCGTCATAGAACCGGAACTATGGTGCATTCACGAGCTCGGGAACCACCAGGAGAGCTGTCAATCCCTCCTCCTGAACTCGGTTCAGAAACCGTAATATCAGAGGAGGTGGGGGGAATGCGATGAGGCTGTGGATAATCAGCTTAGTTCCAAGCTCAGGCGAGGATTAGGCCAAGCTTAGGCCGGAGGATAGCTGTCACTGAGACCATACATAAACAACAACTAAAAATACCAGTTGTGTAACAGTATGTGGGTGTATTGAACCGTTTTGGTACAGCGTGTTAGGTTCGGTCCACGTTCTTACCGTTTTGATTATTTTTTCACTCATTTAATTTATTAACCGGAGATTATGCGCAGCGGAAGTAAAGTTCCTAAGCACGTGTTTCAGCACTGCGTTATAGTCTTTTAGGACACGTAGCATTAGCAGCCTGGCAGGAGACCCTTTCATCTAGTTGCGGTGTCCTGTTTGGGAACGTTATGGCTTTCTTGTTAAAACTTAACAATGGGAAAAGACAAATGCAAATACAAAGCTTTTTGTCGACGTTGTTTCACGGAGCTTGGATCTGCAGCAGGCAACACGTCTAACTTGTTAACGCACTTGAAACGACGTCATCCGAATGTGAATGTCTCTTCTACAGAATAACAGCTTGATTGGTGCAAAGACCGATAACAGCAGCATTTAAACAACCTTTATCAGGTAATTCAGATAGGTCCAGAGCAATAAAACAAGCTGTAGGAGTTTTGAAAGCTATGGATCTACGTACGTATTTTGGTGTTGAATGCGCCGGCTTTAAAGTTCTTGAGCCCCGCTACGACATCCCATCACGTCAACACTTCAGCCAAAAAGTTGTACTTTATGAAAAAGTTAAAACTAACATTGTCAACAAGCCCTGGAG